AAAAAAAAAAAAAAAAAGGAAAAGAAAACTTGGATTTCCACCTTCATGCACATTTCTGTTGGGAAACTCAAAGCAAAGTCGTGATATTTCATCTAAATCACTTTGTTCTGTGTGTCCCACTTGAAAATTCGCCAAAAATAAACCGTTTGCACAATAAACAGTCAGTCGAAAACAAAAAATTCTGCTTTACACAATGAAACCGTGAAGCTGTTCGTGACTCGGCTGCGACAGACGGTCACTTTACAACAATTTATGAATGCTTTCGTTAAACTCGGCTGAACTGCAGGATGTGTTTCATACAAAACAACACCTTCTATTCTGCTTCCAGTTTGTTTTTTTTAAATTCAACATTCAACTTTTAGGATGTTTCACACTTCTTTAAGCCACATTGTTAAAAAAATCAATAAATGTTTTTTAAAAAGCTGCCATCGCCATGCTTCACGTCATGATGCTGCCACCGCCATGCTTCACAGTATGGATGGTGTGTTTGTGATGCTGTTCAGTGTTTGGTGCCAGACCAGAGGAAACTAATCCCGGGACCAGGCTCATCATTCCCACCAAGCAGCCGTCAGCGACGCGACTCCTCCGTGGGTTTCCGACGAGGTTTAATCAACATTCACGGACTAAAACGATGCACCGACAGCAGAAATAACTGTTTGCCGAGCGTCCACACTCATCATCCCGGTTTCATTCTCCTCCAAACACAAACACAAAACCAGCTAAACGCACCGAGACTGAACTCTGGCTTCTTCCCACTTCACTTTCACAATCGCTCCAGTCATGCAAAGTTTGCTGGATTTGGCCAAAACACTGTCGCACACACACACACAGACACACACACACACACACCGTCCATGAAAGCCTCCATTCAGCACATTTTGCCTCATTTGAATTAGAGAAGCCGCCATTGTGTGCCCAACCGGCTCCGATCTGGTGAGGCCTTTCAGTTTCCTCAAACAAAATAAAAAGGAAAAAAAAAAATTTAGAAAAATACGGCGGAGCAAAAATAACAACAAGCGCAGCAGACGTTACAGCTGACAACGAGCTTCCTGCAGGAAAACAAAGAGGCATCAGAGCGTGAAAGTGCAACCAAACCCGAGACCGTTCCGTCCCGCTGCTCCTGAACTACCATCCAGACAAACTGATTTTAAAACCAAACGGAGACCAAACAAAGAAACACAACGACTTTTAGATCGATAAGTAAACTTGAAAGTAAAACTCTGCACCGTCGGACGTTTCTGCCGTTTAGTTTAGCCGCAGGAATAAAAAAACAACTTGTTGCACAATCGTAGGAATCTGTTGGTGTTCCGCCTGCAGGAGGTTCTCAGACGTTCCTCGTGTCTCCTGCAGAAGCTCGACTCTGTGCAGGATTTACAAAACCTGGAAACAAATCGTCAGAGAAAGCGAAATGCACAAACATTCGCCAGCTTTCCAGCATCTCGAACTCAACAATCTGAAGTTCTGGATAGACTAACAGGAACTGAACTCGATTATCTGGATCGTTTTTATGTTTTACAGATTAATTAAATTTACTCAGAAATGTCTCGCTGCAGCTCCAAAGCAACTATTAAACTGCTTCGAGTTGGTTTTTTTAAGCGTAAAAAGTCCAAATTCTGTTTGCATCATCCTAAATGTGAGATTCTCTGTTTTCCTTCCACAACAAACTGAACATCTTTCAGGTTTTTGGGTCGTCTTGGACATTTTCTATCACGTTAGAAACCAAAGAACCGACTTCTTAAATCATGAACTGCAGCTATAATCACCGAAATACCTCCTGAGTCGTAATGCGGTCGATTCATTTTACAAGCAACAATCTGCAGGGTCTTTGAGTTTTATCACATTATTTAGTTTGAACAGCGTCTCTATCTGTCACCACAACGATCAGTCACGTGGCTGTCAATCACTAAACCCATCATTAATCAAAAAACGCTCTAAATTCTGTGATTTCAGCTTCGAAAATGTGAATAATTCTGATTTCTTTCCTCCTTTATGACAGAAAACTGGATTTTTTGGGGACAGCAATTGATATTTTCCACCATTTCCTGACATTTTTTTTACACTAAACAACTAATTTAAAAATGAAAATAGTTGCAGCCATGTGACCAGTGAGAGCCAATCAGCGCTGACGGATGAATAAAACTAAGTTCTGTGATTTTAGCTTCATAAATGTGATTATTTCTGGTTTCTTTCCTTCTTTATGAAAGAAAACTGAATATTTGGGGACATTTTTCACATTTTTTTTTGCCATTGTACTGCCCAAACAACTGATCAGTAATCCAGAAGTAAAAAACAACCGCAGCCTGAATCTGATTGGTTCCTCGTCAATCAGCACTGACGGATTAATAAAACAGTCTAAATTATGTGATTTCAGCTTCTTAATATTTCTGGTTTCTTTCCTCCTCTATAAGAGAAAACTGGATATTTTTTGGTTTTTGGGGGACACTGATTGCTATTTTCCACCATTTACTAGTCGATTAGTTTAAAAATTAAAATAGTTGCAGCCGTGTGACCAAGAAGAGCCAATCAGAGCTGACAGATAAATAATAATAATAATAAAACAGTCTAAGTTCTGTGATTTCAGCTTCATAAATGTGAATATTTCTGGTTTCTTTCCTTCTTCATGAAAGAAAACGGATTATTTTGGGGGGTTTTGGGGACATTAAATGACATTTTTTGCCAAACAACTGAGCATTAATCCAGAAATAAAAAAATATCTGATTGGTTCGTCACCAGTTAGAGCCAATCAGAGCTGACGGATTAATGCTGGAAATTTACTTTAATTAAACATGTGGTAGATGTAAAAACAGTCTAAATTGTGTGATTTCAGTTTCTCAGATGTGAATGTTTCTGGTTTCTGGTTCCTCCTTAATGGCAGCAAGCTGACTATTTGGGGGTTTCTGACGTGTTTGAACCCAAACAGTTGAAATTCTCTGATTTCAGCTTCTTAAATGTGAATATTTTCTGGTTTCTTTGCTCCTCGGTGACGGTAAACTGAATATTTTTGGAGTTTTGGCTCAACTGATGACAACTAGTCCATGAATAGAGAAATTAAACTAATCAAGGCTGAAGAGTTGCTTTAACTAAACATCTGGAAAACTTCAAATTCTCTGATTTCAGTTTCTGAGATGTGATTATTTCTGCTTTCTTTCCTCCTCAGTGACATTAAACTGAACATCTTTGGACTTTTGGAGACTTTGATCAACATGTTCTGACATTTTAAAGTCCAAAAGAACTGAAGAATTGTTGATCAAACATCTGGAAGAAAGATTAAAGGTTTGTTGTGTCTCTGCTCCAGCTGTCTGCTCTGGATCAGTACCGGCTCTACACATCTGTCCTCCTGCTTTAAATCCGGTTCTGTTGCTCTCAGGTTCAACCTCGGAGCAGAACCAGCGGCTTCAGGCCGCTCAGGTGCTTCCTGTCTGAGGTTCGCTCCGGTTCTGCTCGGCGCGGCGCGGCGCGGCTCGTCTCCTCTGTGCTCTGAGGCCCTGCTCCGTCTGCGCCGTGAACGCAGCACATTTTCTGACAACTTCCTGAAGTCGCTGCTGTCGGAACTTCGGCTACGTGGCTCCGCCGCGGCGCCCGGTGACCGGAGACCGGAGACGGTGCCAGAAACGCGGCCCAGCGTGCGAACCGCGTTACGCGCTCTCACACCGAGGGAATGTGGCCGCGGGTCGACGCGTCGAGGCGGGCACGGCGCGCCACCGAGCACCGAGCACCGAACGGAGCCTCCGCACCGACAGCCAGCCCGCGGTGCCGCCGTGTCCGAGGCTCCGGTTGCTCTTACCTGCAGCGGGGGGATGCCGCCCGGAGCGTCCGCGGCGTCGGGCGAGTTGTCGAACACTCGGTCCCGGTACAGAGACCACAGACCGACGTTGGGCAGGAAGAGCAGAGCCGCGAGCAGCAGCCCGGCCAGCTGCAGCAGCCGCTTCTCCTTCCGCCTCATGGCTCCGGAGGACCAGGCGGCGGCGGCGGCGGAGAGGAGCTCAGAGTCCGACTGACTCACCGCGTTCACCGGGAGGAGGCAACTTCTGTGCGGCGGAGGGGACGGACGCCGGAGCTGTGACGCTCCGCGGCGGCTACTGCTGCCGCTGGAGGGCGCCGGGGAGGCGGAGGCTCGGCCCGCGGGAGCCCGGTCTTAAAGGAGCCGGAGGTCCGGAGACCGAACCCACTGGGACCGGGACCGGGACCGGGACCGGGACCAGGGGCGCCTCGAAGTCCCCGGAGCTCCGGGACGCACATGGAGACCGGAGGAGGCGGAGCTCCGGGAAGGTTCCCAGCAGAACCCGAACAGAACATCAGCAGAACTTCCAAAGGGTCCAAACATTGAACCTGCTGGTACACAGCAAAAACTGGAGTGTTGAAATTTCAGGGTTAAATGTTTCTGAGTTGATTTTAACTCCAAAAGTGTGATTTTAACACATTCTGATTTAAATGGTGGTCAGTGTTGGAGTTATTTGACAGAGTTGATCACATCAGTGTTGATTCCGGTGTAGCTGCGTATCGTCAGTGTTACTTTAACTCTGTAGAGAGGTGATTTTAAAACGTAGCCCCGCCCACTGGACCGCGCATCTCACTCTTTCCGTTGGAGACATTGAGACCTGAATTTTCCTCGTGAAGCGGTGCTACAAGGTAAGTGGAATTAAGTCAGATTT